CCTTTATTCTTCATGCTGAAAGCCGCCATGGTATAGAGGCTAGGCGCTCGCCTGCGGTCCGAAGGTCGTAGGTTCAGGTCTTGGCGGAACATAATAATTTTTTCAAACATGACTTTGGCTCCCAGGTCGACCCGGCCTTAAGGGTGCCAGGTAAAAGGCATATGATGCAAATGTGGCCGGCGTGATGCTGACCACATCACCCACCCAGTGCTGACTGGTTTAACCAATTTAGGTCTAGTTAATTTCCGCTTAAATTATATTCGACGGGGGGGGGGGGGGGGCGACTCTATATCCATACTCGTCTCTATTACCTAAGCCAACGCCTCCGAGCCTCTTAGTTATTTAAGTGTAAATATGATTTATATTTTTGTTTGTCCAGGGCGGCATTTGTTCGGACACACGCATAATTTAAGGGCCCTTTTCCACGCCTTCGGGCGTACTGGGCATATAGCGTCAGGCCTATATTTTATAGACCAACCGGCACTCAAAGGGTGATGTGGTCAACATCATGCCGGCCGCTTTTACGTTCCAGGACTTTTACTTTGTACCCATTTAAGACTGGGTCGACCAGGGACCACCCCTCCCTTCCTACAGCAAAAATCAAGGAGGCCTAGTCTTCCCTAAATTTGTAAGGGGGCTAAGTTGCGCCCCCCCCCCCCCCAACCACACTCACACACACACACACACACACACACACACACACACACACACACACGATGTCTTTTTAATTGTTGCTGCATACATCTATAATGTTTCTAATATCTCGTCATACGAGGAGCTTCAAATGAAAACAGTGAACCGTGTGACAGAAATCGCAATAACCATGCCATTGTTTTGTGTCATAAACTGTCAATATTGCTGCTAGGGTGTCAAGTTTCTTAACCACCTGACATCACGCTGAAAAGGAACACACTGAGGGCATACGGATAGTTTCAAGAGGCCGCCCCACTTTTGACACGCACCAAAGAGGAGCGGCTTTCAGTAATCGGTTTATTATTTTTTTTTTTTTTTTCAGTGATGGGGCGAAACCTTTTGAAATTACCGGCGAATAAAGGTCGTTATGGTGAGGCATGCTTGTTAGTCCAGCAAGTGTATGAGTGGGGTAGAAACTTTCACAAAGTCGTGACTTCTATGACAATACGTTTAAACCTATTGTAGCCCGGTGTGGTGACGTCAGCAGAATGCCCCGTCAGCTGCAGTCGGTCTTGGTCTGCCTGACCCGGTCGTGAAAGGTCTGTTGAATAGTGTATCTGGATTTACCTTGCTGGTTTGCCATCTAGGATGAGTTTCTTGCAGTCTGCGCGGTGATCAAACCTAGAGATACTGGCCCGGCAGTTTCTTGCAGTCTGCGCGGTGATCAAACCTAGGGATACTGGCCCGGCAGTTTCTTGCAGTCTGCGCGGTGATCAAACCTAGAGATACTGGCCCGGCAAAACTGACAATTAGTTCATTAGTCTTGATCAGAGATCTTACAGAACGAAGCAAAGAAGATTTAGACATGTAGGCACCACATACAGGCCTCGCGTCCTTTAGCGGATAGCCATGTTGTGACGGAGACTTCCGTAAACAGGCGGACTGACTCTTTCTGTCGCAAACAGCGCGCAATATATATTCACTATGTTTCAATCAACGAGTGGTATTATCATCAATTTTACGTTTAGCCTGCGCGTACTCCGGAAATCTGGACAGATATTTTAAGGTCATGGTGTAAGATGCGCACTTTTATTATCAAACCTGCACCACCTGCTGTGAAATCTGCTGAGAATGAAAGTGTCAAGGAGGAAGGGGGTGGACTGTTTATAATCTGATTACAACTTGTCAGGTCAGGCGAGGTATCTTATAAGTGAGACGTCAATTAGAGAGAGTATGACTGCATAGGTAAAGCAACGCTATTTAGGCATGGCAAGGTTTCGACGTCAGACAATTATTTCTTTAAACTGTGTGCCATCTCCACGACAAAGATTGGCTGCCATGTACCCACTGCTGACTATGGCAATATTACGTAGTGAGGTCCCAAACTCTTTCACGGTGTGCCTCTCGTACCACTGTCAAAGCTAAGAGAACTTTGTTTTAACTAAATAGTCTAGCACGGGAAACGCACCCTGATACATTAGGGGATAAAAAAGAAATTATGAAACGCATTTTACTCGCTGATAACAGGGAGGAGGTGGGTTTATATAGTCAATATTATGCAGCTGCAATATTCGTCAAACCTATCTGTACTCATACACAACCACGCATATGCATACTCATTAGTATACATAATAGCGATGTTTCGAAAAGGAAAATTATTGTGAGAGAGAGTGTGTGTGTGAGAGAAAGAGAGAAAAAGAGAGAGGGAGAACGAAAGATTAAAAAAGAGAAAGAAGCAGATAAAGAAAGAGATTTTTTTTTAAAAAAACAAAGAGACAAAGACAGAGAAATGAAGAGATCAAGAAACAGAGAAAGACAAAAGACAAAGACAAGAGAGGGAGATGTAGAGGTTAGTTCCCTTCTTCCTAGCCTTCCCCTCCCAAACAATTCCAGAAACCTCTCGACATCATATGGAAATCATATTTATGAATTTCGAACCGGGCTGGGTTTTTTGAGATCCGCGTCTAGAAACCAAACCTAGACCGCCGTCTCAGCAGCAACCTTCAGAAGTTTTGTTCAAAGCAAATAATCTCTAACAGTTCATCAAGCTCTTCAACAATACAAACTGCCTGGATATTCCATACATCCTTTTGTTACTTCATGTATGTTGTAAAGTTGTACTTTTTTATCTAATGCGAAATTTTCCTAAAATTATCAGATTAATATTTCTAGATAAATTGCAAACCCAAAATAAAACCGAACGAAAAATCGTGACAGCTGTAGCGCATGTACAAGAAAATAACCAGTTATACGTCCGTGTTGGCTTATTCTAGCTCCCGCTGCTTCTCATGAACGAACGTTCTACACACTTCATTAGCCTAGTCAGGCTAACTAGTCCCCAGCAACAGCAGCCGTCAACATCCGCGACAGAATTAACGTCGTTATGGGAAGGAAAGCTGGGTGAACTTCTAAAACAAGGAAAACAGAACCTACGTGCCTACAGTTTGCACGTGTTCTTCAGACGTTTCGCTAACTGCATATTGTTGGTTTATACTGAGAAACATCTCATACTATTGTGACGATGGAGACTTCTTCTTTGTTCATCGGATGTACGCTGCAGCGAAAAATCCTGGTCTCGCGTCCATTTGGACTACGGCTTGCGTGTATATCCGTTTTACTGGCTTATTTGTGTGCAGCTGGTTGTTCCTTGCCGCTCGGGCAGATGCACACCGACTTCGAAATAAGCACCCAATTAGTCGACTCCTACGACATGCTTGCAAGGGAGGCAGTATGTCTATTCAGACAGGGATGACGACAGATTCAAGAACGCATTAAGAACAGAAATAATATTCTCTCTCCTTTTTTCCTTCCCCCCCCCCCCCTCTCTCTCTCTCTCTTCTCTCTCTCTCTCTCTCTTCGAGAGAGACACAATTTCAAGAATCATGATAGGAAGATTGTCTTCAAGCACAGGGTTTTTCTAAGTTATGGCTTGGTGTCTTTCCAAACTGTCTCCACACAACGGCTAGCACAAATCGTCAATCCAATAGTGATGATTCCCAAGGATCGCCGTACTCAGAACGGCGGCACGAGGACTGACCATTTACAAATGAGGACCGCAAACAGTTAGCCAGATCGGACAAACAGACAGACGGACAAACATAGTCTGTCTGATATATAGATAAACAGACAGACAGATATAATAAGCCAAACGGTTAAAGCTGAATAGAACAGCAAGAAAAATTAGAACGAGAAGAATAACTTAGCAGTGGTTAGTGCCTTGTGGGAGAGCGTGTACAGTTCGGAGGAGCAGATGGATCACCACAGGTGGTGAGACTGATGCAGAGGGAAGTTTCGGCAGATGCTCGAGACTCAGGGGCAAGGCAAGACGGACATTAAATCAGAATGCTTCTGGCTCTATTAGTATCGAAACTCTTCGCTGAGAGCTGAACATGGGGACGGAGCGCTTATGGGAACGCTCCTAGTACTGTTATGTCGGTTCTTGAAAAAGAGAAGGTACAAACTCACAACAATCAAGGAGCCATGAGTGCAATTACCTACCAGTGTCCAAAATAATGACGACTTTACTACCCACCTTAACCACGCTATACAGACCGCTGTCTTATCTGCCATAACCACCCTTGATTTATTCATCATCACTGTTTCTACGGGTCCTCTCTTCATTGCTATCCTGCGCTGTCGCTTTTTCATGAGGCATGATGTTTGTGTTGCCTTTGCCAAGGGACTATATCAGAAAGGTCTTTATTTGTATTTCCAGTGTTCCCAGAGCGCGATTTGAGATCGCATTCGGAAAGGGGGGGGGGGGGGGGGGGTACAGTCCAATCGCTCCCCATCCAAACTAGCATGTCCTAAAAGGTGACTAACTAGGGTTTTTCTTAAATCTAATGCGTTAAATTACTACTTAGAATTATAATGAGAAGAACAAAAACAAAAAAATAAGAATGGAAATGAGTGAAGAGCAGTATGGATTTTTGGAAGGTGAAGGGACAAGTAATGCAATATACATAATACGAACACTGATAGAAAGATCAAAGGACATACAAAAGGACTTATATTTGTGCTTTATAGATTATATCAAAGCATTTGACAAAGTTAAACATGAAGAGATGATAAAAATGTTGGAATACAACAATGTAGACAGGAAAGATCTCAGAATAATTTTTAAAAATGTACTGGAACCAAGTAGCAACAATTAAAGTGAAAAAGGCAGACCTAAAAAAAAAACATGGAGAATACAGCAAGAGAATGACGTTAAAAGACAGGGAGGACATGGAGATAGCTGCATACAACAGAAAGGGATAGGATGACCTGTCATGGGTTGGTCAAGGGCCTATGCTCCATTGTATTAAAAGGCAGAAGAAAAAGAACTACTATAAAACTGTTAAATAGTTAACTACTGTAATACTCACTTAATGAACTGATTTACATGCTGCATAGAAGCCTCATAATTTTTCCCACCCACTTCTTGGCAATGTAATGCCACCAGTCCAGGCTTGTGAGTTTGCAAACACTGAAACCATTCAATCAATACAATCAATCTGACAGTCTTCTCAAAGTCAAAACAGACGTTAACAACTTACACAACAGCTAAGCTACTGAAGAAGTTGAAATATTTGTTCTGTAATTAAATTAAAGGAAATGAACAGTTGATAAACATTGTAAGGTCAACAAGGAAATGGATTAACAAATCAACTTGCGGGCAACAGCTATCCGTTATTATCTGTTGTCTCCCTTGAATCTTCTTTTTCTAAGCTTTCACTGATGGCAAACTCCATTGGAAAGTTCTGGCTGTTCGTTCACTTCTGGACTTTGGTCTTGTTCAGAAACTTGAGTTTTTGTGTGCACATCCACTTTACATATGTTGTTTAATTGTATGAAGAATATTGATACCTCATCTATCAGGCAGAAGCACTCTGAGTTCATTAGTCGTCTTTTATAAAATGCTTGTGTGGAGGGGGGAGCTCGTGAATCTATTCTGTTTCTCCTCAAAATTGGGCCCTGGAACCCACACAGGAAGTGCCCAAATAAATGTCCATGTTCTAGCTGTGTTGAATGAGGCTTCAAAGATTTGAACTTGTCTTACACACCTCAATAACCTTTCCTGGACTATAGGATACTTTGTAACAGTAGGGGATGCACTATTAACTGTGTTATCACATTCTTACCCACACTGGACTGCAGGTTACACCCGGCAGTGTAACTCTTATGGGTGCCTAATAATAACTTCTTAGGGAATCTGCTTGTTGGTCTCACATCCAGATTAAGATTTTTAATCTCAGGATGGTATGATAAACCTTTAGGTAACACACCTATTGACTGACCAATAACTGTATTATAAATTTGAGCAAGGTTTCTGGGATTTGTATCAGTTTGATTCTCATCCACAAGGTGTTAGTCTTACAGACTGCAATCCTGGAGGGGGGAAAAAAAGAGAACGACACACACACAAAATATTTATGTGTATTGCAGTCCTTTTCATGCTGGACACTGCAGTGGTGGCAGTCTGCTGATAGTGAAATAAATCAAACCTGCAGAGCAAACTTTACTAAATTAGGTCTCATCACAGCCAGTCCGCATATGCTGTGCTGATCTGATTGGGTTACATTCTAATATACCACACTGAAAGCACTCATGGTTTCTGATAGGAAGAATAGTTCTGCAACAAAGTCTATATGAAACCTAATGTCTAGCACAGCTTTAACTAATTTTTCTAAGTAAAGGTCCTTGCGTTCAATATCTTTTTCTGGCTAATACTCATTTCCTGTATTCATATGTGCATCAGAGCTCCAACTGGCCGGACAGACATATGGATTTCTCTTGCAGAGTCCTCAGCTAAGTGATTCTGTGTATTCTTCTTTGTAAATGTAACACTGTGTATTCATGTCACATGGTGTTAAGGGTTTCTAGCCACAGCCTTAACTTGTTGTTTGTGAAGTTGACCAGTCAGTTTTTTATTTAGTTAAAAATCATTCCCTATGAAGATAGCACTTCAGTCCTGGTTCAGGAGGAAGCTACAAGTACCTTACTCCAAGAGACGCAAACCCTTTTCAGAGTTCAAATTCCCTAAACATAAGTGTATTTGACTTGATAGTTAAAACTCGAGCCATCCAGGTCCCCCTGTAGGTTCCAGTGCAAGTGCAGCAGCAGTAGCAGAAGAAGCAGGAAGCAGGAAAAAGAAGAAGAAGAAGAAGAGAAAGAAGAAGAAGAAGAAGAAGAAGGAAGAAGAAGAAGAAGAAGAAGAAGAAGAAGAAGAAGAAGAAGAAGAAGAAAGAAGAAGAAGAAGAAGAAGAAGAAGAAGAAGAAGAAGAAGAAAGAAGAAGAAGAAGAAGAAGAAGAAGAAGAAGAAGAAGAAGAAAGAAGGAAAGAAGAAGAAGAAGAAGAAGAAGAAGAAGAAGAAGAAGAAGAAGAAGAAGAAGAAGAAGAAGAAGAAGAAGAGTGAAGAAGAAGAGAAGAAGAAGAAGAAGAAGAAGAAGAAGAAGAAAGAAGAAGAAAGAAGAGAAGAAGAAAGAAGAGAAGAAGAAGAAGGCGGAGGAGAAGAAGAAGTATGAAACGAAGAAGAAGAAGAAGAAGAAGAGAAGAAGAAGAAGAAGAAGAAGAAGAAAGAAGAAGAAGAAGAAGAAGAAGAGAAGAAGAAGAAGAAGAAGAATAAGAAGAAATAGGATTAAGGGTGTCAAAGAAAGAAGAAGAAGAAGAAGAAGAAGAAGAAAGAAGAAGAGAAGAAGAAGAAGGAAGAAGAAGAAGAAGAAAGAGAAGAAGAAGAAGAAAAATGAAACGTACTCGGATTAAGGGTGGCCAGGGGGATATCTAATTTGTTATTCATTAAGTGTTGACTGATGATCTCTTCAAATTTAGGGCCAACATGATATACCTAATAAATCTAATGTGCTTCAAAGCATGGAAAAATGATCCAAACTTTATTTTATTTTTTTGCTACAATGACAAAGAAAGAAAGTGTAAGACAGAAGCAAGTAGTAAGTAGACAGACAGGTATGGAAGTGATCAGCAATTCATCATTTATACAGAAAACACAATCGTTGTAAAGGAACAGTTCATCTGCATTATCCGGTGCATAACAGATGATGGATGGCTGAGAACATCACAGACTAATAGATTATGATGAAATATTTCCCACACAAATATTTACCTGAAAGAATGCCTTTAGCCATTCAGGAAACATTGTCTCCGGCTGAAAAGAAACACAGACCAAAGTTACATTTTCTCTAGTATGATTTCAGCAAACAATAACAACGTTTAATGCTTAAACAGAGTAGCAAAACAAGAAAAATAACAACACAAGAATCCAGGGCTTTTTTTGTGTGTGTACACAATGGTATATGGTAAAGACACATTTTTCAAGGCATCCTTTTTTCAGCACTACAGTAACAGACACTTTATAGTGCATACTATCATCATCATGTAGCATGTCCTTTGCAGAATGTTGCTCTCATCACAGTCTGCCTGAAAGAAACTCAGTCTCTCACAAGCTCTCCCATCTCGTGTACTTTCATATTCAAGGAATCACTTATGTCCTTTGCCCATCTTCATGTTGGATCAGCCCCTGCCCCTTTTCCCTGATACCATGCGTTCTACTATTATTTCTTCCTATCTGCCTTGGTGCTTGATATGACCAAAATATTCAGCTTTCGAGACAAGATGCTGTTTTTTCACCAATCTTTGTTGACATTCAGATCTTTCAGAAAGTCAGTATTCCTTCTCTTCTTTGTCCATGGTATTCTAAGAATCTTTCTATAGAATTTCAGCTTAAAAGCCTTCATATTTTCTTTCTTAGGGACTGGAAGAAAGTATATGACTCACATCCGTAAATTGCTATAGAGACGATCAAGTGCATATCAACACCTTGTATTAGACACCTTGCGGTGAGAACCGATGCACTTTTTTTTCTAGAAAAAAAAATTGCATAGAACTTTAAATATATCTTTGCAGCGCCCAAGCAGCAGATGCTAACATCTCTGTGCATACAGCAACAAGCCAGTGATGGCAGGTCAATTACTATAGACCTGCCAAACTGACATTAGTGAACATAAACAAATAGGGCATCAAGTAATTTTGTTCCACCAAAAGCTGTAGGAGGATGGGATGAGCCTGGATATAGTCATTAATGTGGTGATATGAGGAGGAAGTGGGGGGGGGGAGAAGAGGTGGGGGGGGGAAGGAAAAAAGAAAACAGTTGGACAGAAAGAAAGAAAGAAAGAAAGACAGACAGACAGACAGACAGACAGACAGACAGGCAGGCAGGCAGGCAGGCAGGCAGGCAGGCAGGCAGGCAGGCAGGCAGGCAGGCAGGCAGGCAGGCAGGCAGGCAGGCAGGCAGGCAGGCAGACAGACAGACAGACAGACAGACAGACAGACAGACAGACAGACAGACCGACAGACAGAAAAAAAGGAAAGACAGAAAAAAAGGAAAAAAAGGAAGAAAGACATAAAGAAAGACATAACATTTCATACTGTTATTGAAAAGCCTTACTGAACGTTACTAAAAAGGATCAGTTACTTAAAGGTGAGAAATGAATGCATCCACCCCTACTGCCTTTTGCAAATCCCATTGATAAACTTAGGTAAATGGATTACCTAAATTAACATAAGATTTATTATAATATGCTATAAAGGGGCAAGATAATAAAGAGATGCAGGTCCAGTTATAAACAGCTACAATACATTTTAGGATACTCCCTGTGTGAATTCTAGGGCCCACTGGTTGGGAGGGGGGGGGGGAACAAGAGTACACATACAGGAAAATATCTTTGAAATCATAAATCTCGGGCTCCATGGTGTTCACGAAAGGAAGAGGGCCATATAATTTTAACTACTAAAATAACTGTTTCAAATACGTTATGATCCTGGGTGGGTTTTGGGCCACTTAGGTGGAGGGAGATAACAGACCCATCCACCCAACAAGCATGTCATTAAAGGTTACTAATCAGGGGTGTCTTTTTTTCAGTTAAAGTGTATCTGTTTGAAAGGCTAGGAACCAACAATCTGCACACAAATACACTGTAAAATTGATATACAGGAAAGAAGAAGAAATTCAACATGATATAAAGGAGACCAAAAATTACTATACAGAGTTTTTAAGAGCTGAGTATTGATTAAATAAGTTTCCTTTTTAAGCTACAGGTGAAGATGGAAGAGAAAACTCAATGCAACAGAAACAATTGATGCCTTAAGTGTATGAATGCCAGTATGTATATGTCCATGTATAAATGGATGTTTATGTGGAAACATATAATGGTATTATTCCTGTTCCTTTAGACTTTCCTTCTGAAAAACAGAGAACATTTAGAAGTCTGACTTCACCTCTCTCACCTGACTCTACATGCCCTGGCACCCTACAGTAAAAGATCATGAACGAACAGACCAACTGGCAAGTAATGCATCAACACATGAGGGAAGAAACATGGACTAGGCTGGTGTATTATGCTGGGTCTGATGCTAACCTTGTTACATTAACTGGGAGTGATGCCTGATAAAGCATCACTATGCTGGTTCAAGATCAAGACAGAATTATATTACAACCAACTTCTCATAAGAACATCCAATGGAGGTGCCTTGGAGGTGATTGCTACATCAGAAGACTGAGAACGCATAAGTATGCCCAAAGTGCAGAAAAGTTAATTGTGATAATATTCTTTTCTCTTTAACATCATGTAGTTCTCCAGAAATGTGCACAAGTATTATAGAGGATAGCAGTATCAAGTGTATTCAGGTAAGAAAACTACCCTGCGGTCAGAAACAAGCATCCAGGAAATCACATCAACTCCCAGCTTAAAATAGAGCTAATTATCCACAGATTTATACTCAGTGCTATAAAACTGTATCTATGCATTACAAAGAATTATACAGATCTGTAATACAGGTGGAGTGGATCAACTCACTATGACATATTTTTAAACCCAAAAAAATAGTTGCTGAATACATTTCTTCGCATCTGGCAGGTAAAGATAAAAGAAGAAATGGACACTGGTGTGTGAAATGTTATTCTTCAAGTATTCTAGGCCCTGGCATGTGAGGTGGCCAGCACCTTCCCAGGAACTTTTCATTTTTTAACCTGCACAGTTTTTAGCGACTGCACTAGCCAAGTGGCTCAGGCTCCGAATCCCCTGTCCTAAACACTATACCCAATGGTACTAAAGCCTGAAAAAAATTTATTTGTTTGTTTTTAAAGCAAACTAACCAATATGCCAAGGTGAGTCTTATTTTATAAGTAAAAAAAGGTAATTGATACTGTTCCCACTATAGGTGCATCAGACATGGAGTGTTAGCCCTATATATGAATTGACCAAGTCTTGGATGGCAAAAGCTAAAGACACAAATAGAGATGTATTTTGCTTAAAAAAAAAACCATTGCTAGTGGCTAGGCAACAATCAAACATGTAGGTTTTGACAATATTGGGCCAGAAGTGCAAAGCCGGGCCAGCCGGCACTGTAGAATCAGAAGTTCAACAACCAATTTATGACACTTCCTGCCCAGGTGATGTGATTATCTATACAGATGGCTCTGTGTGGAGAGGCAGAAGAAGTGTATGAGAATTCATTGCAAAAGTAAATGGATTATGCTTAGTGCAACAAAGCCTGCAACACCTAATTTCAGAATAGAGGTGAAGACAGCCACAGCAGCCTTCTGCTATCTTGAGAAACATCTGCACAGACATGTCATAATTGTAACCGACTCACAAAGCATGCTTAGAATGGTGGAGACTGGCATGCTCCTAGCAGAGTGACAAGCATTGCTTTAGATGTCGCAGGTAGTTAGTGCCCTTTGGATATTTTCTCTGAGGTAGGCAAGTGTGTTAGGGAATGAATAGGCTGATGGCTGGCTGATTCTGCAACAATGGGTGTTGAAGTGATGTATGGCAAGCTAGATGTGGTCAAGACCCTTCAGAAGCAATTGAACAATGCTGTGGCACAAAAAGATCATAATGGTCTGGAGATAATGCTACAGTCAGAAGTTAACCAGGGGATTTGGTCAACAGAGGAAAGGCAAGATGAACATATTATGAAACTGCTAGTGGCAACATTCGATTAAGAACTCTTTGCTGGCTGCTGAAGATCAGGATGAAATGCTTATGGGAATGTTCTGAGTGTTGGGTTGGCATGTCAGTTCTTAACTCAGCTGAATTCAACCCAGTATCCTACCATTTGGCAATGGTTGTCATGCTTCTCTATAACCCGTAATCTTCAACAGCATTTATTAGTCCATGTGCTGACAGCCCTCCATGCCCTGAAAAAATGCAGTTAACTCTTTGAGTCCCAGAGGGTTTAGCATCACAGGCCCAAGGGGTTGTCAAAAGAGACTAAAATCTGCACATCACGCGTTCATTGGGCTTCTAGGCAGTAACCTATGAACGTATGATGTGTTCCTTGGGACTCAAAGAGTTAAGAATCTCTAATGTTGTCCTCTATCACTCTTTCCACAAACCTTGTCAGTGCTTACACAATTTTTCAGTCTTCCTCTTTTTAAACAGTCAAAAATTATGACTGTCTCCTTCTGATGTTTGTAATGAGTTGTCTTTCAGCCTTTGCTTTTTTCAAACCATCTAGGTTACTCATTCTGGCTAGGGAATTGTAAACATTCCTCTGTAATACCGAAAGAACGAACTTTATTTTTTCAAAGGGTCACAAATAGGTATCACATCTATGAGGCCTCAAGAAAATGTGTGGCTTGTTTATTAACTGCCAGAATTGACAGCCATATTTCAAAACTGTCTTTGTATATAAGTTTTAATTATTTTCTAGCCTGGCCTAAGAGGGATTTATTACATAAGATGATCTTTATTTTATGAAATACAGTGTGTCTCAATAGAAGACACCTGGCAGAATCTTACATCAAGAAATAAGAGCTTGAACACTCTTGACAAAACACCCCCATACATTTTCACTGATACATGGACGAATTAACTCTTTAAAGACGTATCGCCAGTATACTGGCGAATAAATTTATCCCTAATGGAAAAGAGGGAACGACACAAATTACATAATTAGGGGTAGGGTTAAGGGCAGGGTTAGGGTTTGGGTTGGGGTTAGGCTAATGTGAGTCGCAGCGCGTGGTCTAGACGCCATGTTGAACTCACTGTGTTTTGTGATTCGTGCCTTGTCCACTCCGTAATTGCACTACAGCCAGGGGACTGAACTCCGACTAAGCGGCCGTCGCCGTCCAAGTAGCGACCGTTATTGCAAGGAGCACCCAATTTTTAAATAATTTTTCTATACTAAATGATAAGGGAAAAGGTCTAGAACTGTCCATACTGCTTTGTCATTGATGAATCTCTGCCAGATGGTGACAACAGTCTTGATATTATGAATAATTTCTAAGTGAAAAACTTATTGTCATTTTTATTATTATTATATTTTGAAAACTGAACAAAATATTTCAATCCATTTTCGGTTGTGAAATTTGACATGTCATACAAAAATGATCATAACATCGAAAGTATTTAAATTAATTGTTTCAAATAAAGACTAGCTGATACATAATTGAATAGAAAAGGCCTTAAAGTAAAATAGCCTTAGAATTGGAAAGCAGTGTTGTTGAACAAGTAAAAAAAGTAAAGTAAGCACACAATTTTTTACATCAATAATAATATGTGTCTAACATCCTTGAATATTGTGTGATTGTAATAATATTTTGTTGGAATACTGACATTTAAATAGTTTAGATTTATTCTGAACTCATTTATTTTTAATTTGATGTATTATGTCCCGATACAGCAAATACTTTTTCTGGAAAGTTTTAGCTTTGTTGTGTTGCAGTAAAAATATTCTGCTCAAAATTAATGCTGTCAAAACTCCAGAAAAAATGTGGTCCTGAAAGAGTTGAGGGAAAAAATTGTTACAAATATGTCAGACTATATGAAAAAAAAGAAAAACGGTATGTGCACTGAGATTATATATATATATATATGATTCCTTGAGTGTGAAAGTGCATGAGGTGAGAGATCTGGTGAGAGACCGAGTTTCTTTCAAGCAAGACTGTGATGAGAGCGACGTTCTGCAAAGGACCTGCTACATGATGATGATGAAACCTGTAGAAGATGTTTTAGTCTACACTAGACAAGAAGCAAAACATGGTAATAATTAAGGTTAATTATTTATACAGTATTCTGATAGTCGGCATCATCAAACAATAATACCGTTAATTAGTTAATATTGAATTATTAATTATTATTATATTTAATAATTGTGCCAATTTACCTCTTCAAATATAGAACCGACATTTGCTGTGATAAGTATGGCCTTCATACAGTCGCCTTCCATCGCGAATTGAGATAACTGCTGACGACTAGCCCAGGGTTTGCTAAATGTTCGGAAACTCCTACTATTTATTACACACTTCTTCACAATACGACGTTTACTCAAAATGAATGGTGCTCTCAAACACAATATCCCGGTCTGGTTGCTAAAAAGCGGCTGACAGATGTGCTTTCCAAACAATACACAGCAGACGGTAAATCCATGTCGAAGCCATTTCATTACACTAATCAGCGGACACAATTATTAATGCAATCACGGCTGCAAGATAAAATAACGAACTGGTGGTTTTAATCACAGCATTGTATGTAAGAAACGTTTCCTGGGACGGTCGCGGATGGGAAAGCTAGTGTTTTGCTAGTTTGAGGAAAGCATTACCTCCCCGACTTCTGCTGGATGACGTCATGATCGTCAGCGCCACTCGCTTGGGGTAAGACTGGTGCAGCATGGCTGTGATGTAACAGAGATCATAGTCAAACTATTGATAGTTTTCCCTGTTGTTTCTGAAAGTTGATCTCTCTTCTAACGCTCCGAAGAACTTCCTCTCCCAAAGCTCCACGGTTCGATTACCATTTCTAATTTCTCCACCCATTATCATTTCAATAAATCAAGTGCCCTCCCCTCAGCGTTGAAGGGTGACAGTAATGGATATCAGACATTGTTATATGTCCTGTTTCAAAACTTTTCTGAGAATGATTTTGATTTTCTCTCATCTTTTGTATACCTGTCTACCTCCTGCTCGCATGTCTTTAACTCTGGTAAGGTTTTATAAAATAGCTGTCTCTTTTACTGAGGCCGAAATAGTTCACCTGAATTTTTTCTTTCAAAAACTTGTGTGTAGTGGCCGCTTTATATTTTATTAGAAAACAAGTGAAATGATTTACCCCATATAATGCTTGTGACAATAGACAGTTTACAACAACTAGCAAAAATGATCAGGCGGAACGCAAACAACAGGTCGACCATGCAAACGATAAACAAATGGAATCACAGAGTTCCTGGAAATTTTCATTTTCGAGCACACTTTCTCGTAAAGTATACCTCACTCGACACCGCAAGATACCAGAAGAGATGAGACGGGCATTTTATTGTTTATTTATTACATATTTTTAATTAGTGGCTGAAAGTGCTCAGGTTTTATCCCAAATCAGAAAGTCGTACAAGTCACGAATTCCTCAGTTCTAGCGACGATCCAGGTATCTCCGGGGGAAATGTTTCGCAAAAAACTGTACAGGTTCGAAAACACATTAGCTAACTTCAGATCGCGAGGCAATTGGTTTATCGCTGAACCATGATAAACCTCCAGAACTAACTCCAGTCATTTTTTATATGCTGGGCTGAAACATGACATAGTTACTTCCTACTATGCTTTTCTGCACATATAATTTTCACCAACCTCCCCCACCCCCGCCCCATTTTAACCGTAGTGGAACAGCAGACAAAAGCTCTGCAACACTGTCCTTATATTGATGATATTTTAGAACAGGTCGAACTTCTTCTTCGTGTTCCTTTCTGTCTTTTTCCTTCAATGAATCCCCTTTTGGATTCCTTTAGCACAACTACTGCCCCCCCCCCCCCCCCCCCCCTGAACAATTTTACGAGACTGAGGCTCCTCTCACATAAAATATGTTAGTCGGATAGGCTTCTAAAAACTGTATACACAAGAAAACTAAATGGTCGTACACCACGAGGCAGACCAAGATGATTACGGAGAGATAATGTCCAGAGAGACCTGCCCACTCTAACTACAACTTCAAAAAAAAAACATGGCCTCAGGAGCAAAGTATGCTGAGCAGGATGTGGGGAACAACGAAGGACCTGGTGCTGACATGCGAGTTTATAGAGGCAACCCACTTGATGGTCTGATCTGAGCACACGAAAACGAAAGCAAAGAAGAAGAAGAAAAAGAAGAAGAATAAGAAGAGGAAGAACACACCCGCAACATAGGAGAGGTACGGCCACCCGACGAGGCAAAAATGGCAAGGGAAGTCACTCTCTTTCTGGGCTGGAAAATGTAAAATGTTCCATGGCGAAACACGACAGCCTTCGCTCACCGGCACATGATGATGATCATGATAATTCAATAGTGTACAATAATATAGATTGAACAGCCTTAAAAGTCTATGGTTACGCACCAGCAAGAAGATAACAATTTGAATTTTGAGAGCATGCATCTTCCCTGTGGCTTCATACGGATGTGAGTCATGGACTATCTCTCAGTCCTTAAGAAAGAGAATAGGGGCTTTTGAGCTGAAGTGCTATGGAAAGATTCTCAGAATATCTTTGACAAAGAAGGTGAGAAATATTGACATCTTAAAAGATCTGAACATCAAGGAAGATTGGCTAATAAACAGCATCCTGTCTCGAAAGCTGAAATAGTTTGGTCATATCAAGCGCCACGACGGATTGGAAAAAATTATAGAAGGCATGGTGCCAGGAAGGAGGGGCAGGGGCCGACCGACACGAAGATGGGCACAGGATATAAGTGACTCCTTGAGTGTGAAAGTTCATGAGGCGGGAGAACTGGCGAGAGACCGAGTTTCTTTCAGGCAGACTGTGATAAGAGCGACGTTCTGCAAAGGACCTGCTACATAATGATGATGACAATGATATGTCGTCAAGATGGATTTCTCAGCTAGACTAGATGTACAGGCGTCATCACCGAGCAGAACTAAATATGTTAAATGCATGGACAAGGCAGATATCAACGCCGTACGGGCTGGTCTAGTGGATAATGACAAATCTCTGACACCAAAACAATTGCGTAATATGGGAGTAAAGCATGGTGAAGCACGTCTATGTTGCCTTCGGGGTCGAGACAGGAGACATTTTAACCAACCTCTTATGGGAACAATTAGTAGAAATACCTTGGTGTGATTGCTGCATCGGAGGACTGAGCGCGTATGGAAATGCCCTGTGTGCATTGACGTCTATAGTGATAACATAACATGTTAAATAAGGGCGATGCGGTAGATCTGCTCAGTATGATGTAAGTCTTCGAAATGCCGCCTCTTAAATCTGCAACTTCTATTTGGATTTCGCTGCTTTTGCGGCCCCTTACGATGCGGCCTGATGCTGCCGTATCTCGATATAACAGCACGACGTGACCTGGTTAAATAAAAGCTTTATCTTTTTACAGTGCTACCCCGTGTACATTTAAAATGGTTGGACCATAGGACTTCACATTTCAGGAACATCAGTGGATCTGTTGTGTCAGCGGAGGGAGAGGAGAGTATCTGGAAATCAAAGCTGATGTGTTGACTTCAGTACTCGTGTAAATCTGTTGGAAGCAACAGATATGTGGTTTCTGAGACGAATACCTTGGACAGCCAAAGTAACTAACAACGATTGCTTGAAAGAAGCTAATTAAATTAGATCTCTATATACAACAATAAGAAAGAGACAAACACTGTTCTTTTGCCAGATAATGAGGAGAAAGATATTGGAGAACATCGTGACAACTGGAAAGATCAGTGGGAAAAGGGACAGAGGCAGACAAAGAGAGAAGATGCTGGATGGGCTGAAACGATAGCATGGAGGGATAACATCAAGAGAGCTGTTCCAGGCAACCAGGGATCGTGATCTGTGGAGACGCATGAGCGCCTACGCCAGTTGGCAGGACACATGATGATGATTTCAGTTCTCATATAAATCCACAACCGACGACTGATAATGAATTATACTGTGGACAGTCAATATCTGTGGAAGCTTGTTTCGATTATAGCTGCGGGAGTGAGTAATATAACAACATGCAGTTTATATATTGCATGGTCTGTTGGGGGATAAGGGCTCTGGCGCATAACGAACAATCACTCGGCAGTTTTCTATCCCATTGTCAAGCTTTATTTTAGAGGTGATGAATGATTTGCCCTCAAGGTATTAAGTATTACCGATTTGGCATAGCAGTAATCATAATCGATGACAATCGAATCAAGAACATTGGCTGGTTCACCAGATAAAAGCCTGCTTTTGGTATGCTTTATATTAAAATTAATGGCATCGAGGTGGATTTTCTCTTGACCCAGCCTACGAACATGTAACAAGGAAATTAAAGCTGCGATTGATACTTCATCCAGAGTGGCAACTGATCTATACAACTATGGATCTACACCCCATATCTGATGTGGCTCTGGGTATGAAAAGGGTCCTTTAATCGTCCTCATCATGTACATTACCTCATGTTCGTCCATCTCACAAGATCAACAACATTACAGACGATCACCATAATTAAAGATCAGGCCAGTGCTCCTATACTGTATTATCTTTATGGCCAAGCGATCAGGGTATTAAACTTGTATTGTTGCCTTTCCCATCAATATTGCTGTTAAGCCAACTTTTAGAGTTCATTCCTCTGCATTTTGAAAAAAAAAGTGGTCGTTTACTTAATTCACTGGAATTTGTTTAGTTCTCCCTAAGCTCTGCTTATCATATTTAATCCGTATATTTTACTGTTAAAAAGCATATAGTATGATAGTAATTGTTTCAGTCAGTACAGATATGGATCGAATGTAATTTTCGTGCCCAGATAAACATTACTGAATATCAAGTTCCCCGCCATTTACAAGATACCAGCCATTATAGCTTGCTTCTGTGTTTGCACCCCCCCCCCCCCCCATTTCCCGGATGGTTGACGCCTTGTGTTATGGTTTACAGTTGACCTGAATCTATCGGTCAGACACATCCGATTTTAACAAAGTTTGTTACTTTACAGTCTTGTTTGTTTTCTGTTATGCTTGCACTTGAGCAGTAACGTCAATGCCAAGACATGATGTAACTTTAGAATCCAGTTCACGCCATGGACGCATTAGTGCTGCTCGTATTTGTGTACACCACTGGAAAATCTGACGTACATCACTCAAGCATCTTTATTTCCAAGTTCAAATTATCCCAAGACTATAAACAAAATGCCTTAAATGTAAAGTATATTTGAAATTCTACTACTTCGGTTTTATATGCTCAGGTCAGTTGCCTCTGTGAACTTGCATGTCAGCTGCAGGTCCACCATGATTCCCTCATAGCTTGCTCTGCACACTGCTTTTGAGGCCAGGGTTCTATTCAAAGATGTAGGTAGAGTGGGCAGGTCTGCAAAATGTGTGTGCTTAGGTGTTTGAAGTCCTGTCTGACAGGCACACTGTGGGGACTATTTTATGCATGTGATAGTTGAACCTGCAGTGTGCTTTTCATAGCGGAAAATTGTATGTTGAGTCTGCTGATCAGGTCTTGTGGATGGCTATTGTTGGTTTGTTCTCTCAACAATTCATTGTCTTTTCCATTCATGTTTTGATTTCTGGTAATGACAGTGTGTGGGTGTTGTTTCTCCTTTGTTAAAGTTTTTTTGCAAAGTCTGTCCGCTAATTTTCTGCTATGCCGTAGTGTGTCAAACAAGTTTACAGTATTTAATTTTTCTTACCGCAACCACCTTGATTGCATCAAAAATTGCTTGCTGCTGTGCTCTGAAGTCCTGGAGGCCCAATACGTTTCCAGTGGTCCCCCTTGCAGCATGATGAATGAAAACCATCTCCATTTTTTTTTGCTGCTCCCTCCAATGATACACCGGTTCATACGCGTGTCAGGTTTTAGGTAAGGTGTTGGATTTGCGACTCGTACGGCATGCTCAACTCTGTCAGGATGAGCTGGCATTCTGCCACCAAGTGCAAAACCAAGTCTGGCCTCAGACCAGTCTTTCAGATTGGTTCGGGGTCTTATCAAAAAACAGTTGCATGCCAGTTCCATTTCACCCGCTCAAGTCGACTATAGATGGAGCATATGCAACTGTTAAATGTATCTTAAAAAAAAAAAATCTAAGTAGCTATATATGCTTTAAGTCCCTAACTGGAAAATAAAGGCAAAGCAAAGAGATGAATAGAGATGGATTATATCTGCTGCAATGAACCTCAAGAAAAAGGTTGAAAAATTCCTATTGTGACCTACTAGTTTAGATTTCCCACTGTGATGTCAAAGGCTGGAATTGCGTGATACATTGGAAAGCTAATGTTTGTAGAATACAATCTGGAAAGCAAGTATACTATGACCTTTCACATTTGCTAAAGTCAAAGTTTCTGTCTCGCAACACCAAGATCAAAATATATAAAACGTTGATAAGACCAGTCGTTTTATATTGCTCTGAGACTTGAAGCACAAATCAAACAGATGAAGCCTTATTACAGGTTGTCAAAAACAGAGTCAAACAGCGGGGAATGGAAAGTGAGAAGCAACAACAAAATACATAATCTGTTTAAATCACCATTGATCAACTGGCATCATGAGAGTTAATAGACTGAAATGGTTGGGGCACACTGAAAATGTCAGATGACAGAAATAAAAACTATATACACCAGGAAGATGAATGGTCGTAAACCATGAGGCAGACCAAGAAGATAACGGAGAGATAATGTCCAGAAAGACATGCAAACACTTGGTGTCACCAAGTGGAAAGAGAAGGCCAACCAGAGAATTGAATAGAGGCAGGTGAAATCTGCAGCAATGAACCTCAAGGGCATGAAATGCTGAAGAAGAAGAATATCTTTAATATTTCAATGTCTTCTGTTATTTTCCCTAAATAATCTTAGCTTTTTAGGATTCTTTCCAAATAGTCCAGTTACAATTACAAATATATATATATATATATCACATTTAAATGGTTGAAAAGGCAAGTTTTTATCCGACACTTGGTCCTTTCACCATAACATCCCAAACTGACCTAGCAGATGCACTGCCTATTAGGCACCTAAAAAACTATATTTTATGTGAACAAAGAAACCAAATAATAATATTACAAAAACAAATATTTACATTCCCAAACAACAGGTTTGATTCTGAGCACATTAGTTTAATGTATACATACATCCACTATGAAAACAGCACTAAACAAACATTTAATATGTGGACATTTTATTGTCTGTGAAGGAAAATATGTAGATGTTAAAAACAGTAAGGGAAACAAGATTATAAATTTGTGACTCAGAATTAACAATTCACTTTTATTCCAAATCTTTCATGTGTTTTTAGTCTTGCAACAGCCTTGGCCTCTGTGAAACAAACACTTCCATGGAAATAGGCTCCCTTAGTACATATTTTGCGCATTTGCTGACCGAGGAACTTTAATCTTGTCAATGTTCTTCATAATGATGTCAAACAGAGAGGCCTGTGCAGAAATGTTCACAAATAAAAATTATTTATCAAACTTTGAGTGCACATTTCCACTACAATAATAAGAATTTATTTTTAAAAAAGAAAGAGAAAAAAGATATTAAAAAATCTGACAGCCTTTTCTACTAATCTTATGTGTAAGATAATTTCTGAGGAAAGATAACTTTCACTTTGCTTATAAATGTACAATTAGTTTAGCTATAAAAGACGGACATTCTAATGGAAGGCATAAATTCTTCAAATTGCAATTTAAAATGAGACACCCTTCCGACAAATAAATACTGAGCATAAAGTATAGCCCGCTAAGCTGTAGTGGCTGATGCTACACAAAGGTGGGGGAGGGGGGTTCAACTGCACAGCGAGGTCTTTTTGTCACCTTGGCTGACAGGTCTACCCAGAATAAAATGAGTACCAAGTAAAGCCATGGGAAGTAGAGGCGGCCACCGTGATGCTGACTACATCACCCATCAAGGGTGAATTGTTCTATAATATATACAAGTCTAGAATCGTATGCCCTATGTGCCATTGGCATGAAAAGTTTCCAGTTCTTTACATTTACTATTATAGCACTCTCAAACGTCTACAAACAATAACTTACATAATGGTTTCTCATCTCCAAGATGGCGTTCTGCAGATTCAGGATTTGTCTCTCATCAAATTCTTTTATGGACTGCCTGTAATCCTCCTGCAACAAATACACAGCAAGTTTATTAGCGACACACAAGGAACATATTTTAGCCACCAAGTGAAAACAAAACCAGTTTTACATAGTGATCACCCACGTATATTATACTGCTGGTGTCCCTAATTTTATTTAAGATCTTTTGTTTTTTCTTTTCTTCTAATTCACTGGCTGTAATTTCAGATGTGAAAGTTCTGGTTGTTTGTCGACTTCTGGACTTAGTCTTGCTCCAGATACTGAGTTTTGTAAACACACTTATTTTACAGACAAATGAAAGACATTCACTAAGTGATGCCTGCTGGAATTAAATGAATGTTATAATTAAATCACAGATGTAGAGCTTTGGGATAAAATTAAACACATTTTAGCAAATTAAGATGTGAAAATAAAAGACACTGATGATGGATGTAGACACAAGGAGAAAACCTCATAACAATATAACTAAAATGTCTTTGTACTGGAACAAAAGCAAATAAAAATATCCATGAGAAGGAAACAAGAAAATGAAGTTAAAAAGACAGTAAAGACTTGGGATGAGCTATATGCCATAACAAAGGACAGGACCTAGAGTGAGAGGGCCTATGCTTTACTGGAGAATAAGGAATAGAAGAGACCGGCTAGCTCTGTGTCCTCCAGGAAGATATAGGAACAGAAATATTGACAGATCAATAGAACTGCTAAAAGGACAGAAATTTACAGGAGTGAATGTTTGTGAAGACCTTTCTCTGGAAAAAATACGAAAGTGCTATCACAAGGACGGTTTTCAGAGCTCTCCTCTCATAGAAAACCAGTAGAGTGTGCAAGGTCAATACTGAAACTTCACACCTGGGAGAGGTAAATCCCCATGCAACCCGGTCATGAATTTAAAAAAAAAAGTTTTTAGCCCTCTAGGACTGCAGTCCTAAGGATGAGAATGGCGCTGCGAGAAGTTACCAGGGAATCTGGCAGACGCTCAACACTCAGGAGAATGGCAAGACGGATATACAATCACACTATTACTGGTGCTATTGAACTGGAACTCTTCATTTGCAGCTGAAGATGGGGACGGAGGGCTTATGGGGGTGTCTCGAGTGCTATGTCGATACTTAATTCAACATTCAAGTAGGTAATCTTCTTCTTCATGAGCAGCCATGACATACCTGCAAGTGACATTCAAATATATAGAGACAGACCACCTGACAATCTGAGCTGAGCAATCGAACACAAAGAAGAAACAGACGAAATCCTGGAAACCCCATTAAACAATGTAACCCTACAGCAGTTAAACTGGGGCACCACAAAACTGTTCAGAATTACCCTGTAGTCCAGTGTAGGTGGGTGCTAAGGTCATGACTCAGTACAACAAATAGGGTCTGGCAGGCACGAATTAAGCCTAGACTGGTGAAGAAGACATGAAAGCTAACAAAACAGATCTTCATCCCCAATTACTTTTAGTTCAATATAGTAAGCTGTGCAGCATCAGTGGCTTAGGCGTTGCGAGTCCGACTCGTAATCCAGCGTGCCGCGATCGAAAAACACTGCTGGCTGCGTGGATTTTTAACATGGTATGGGGCGTCGCAGGTTGATCCAGCCTAAAATGGGTACCCGGATGAGCTGTCCTGGTAGAGTAAAGACAGCCGGCGAAATGCTGATGGTCTGTAAAAACATGGGCGCTCTTCCCATATGCCCAATACGCCTAAAGGCATGGAAAGGGATCTTTACTTTACTTATAGTTAGTTGTAATCAATGGAACATGTAGTGCACAGAATACTTACAATGTGGGGGTATTTAGCGATCTTTGAGATGATTCGAGCACGCTGGAGATAATAGCGAGAAATCTGGTCCAGGTAGCTGCTGGCTTCACTTTCAACTTGTCTCGCCTCTGCAACGACATCCTCCTGAACACAGAGAAAAAATAATAATATCCATAAGATTATCAACAGTCATTAAATTCATTAACTTTCCATGTGGATTCTGAAGCCCCATTACGGAAGGAAAAAGAACAGATCCACTGCACCCTAACAAGCAAGTCATAAAAGTCAACTAATTAAGTTGTTTCCTTCAAAGTCGGAACACCTCTGCCTCAAAGGTCAAGAACAAACAATCTGGACACAAATACGCCAGATCTGTAAAACTGATGTATGGTGTAAGGAGAACTCAAGTTCTGAAACAAGTACAGAAGTAGACAAACAACCTAAACTTTCTGCTGGTGAGTCCCAAGAAGAAATAATTTATTAAGGAAATCAAAACTGACATGTACAAAGCTTAATGGATAAGTATTTAAAAACGTCTCAAAAAATATCGGGACGACCATGTTATAACGAAAGGCTTTGCAAAAAGGATCCTGGCCACGGCCAACATAGATCAGAGACTCTGCTATTGTTCTAGGGGCTGGTTCTTTCTCCAGTCAAATATGCTTTAGCCATACTCACCGCTAGTAAAAAAATTTTTAGACTGAAAGACTGGAAAAGGTGCAAAATAAAGCCATGCGCATTATTGTAGGGTGCATAAGAGACAACTCTTGCATAGCAATGAGATATCCTCTTGACTTTCTGACAATGCACCACAGGATAAAGATTTGGAGGACTCATGTATGCATGAAGATATGCTTGGATTTGAAGCACGCTCTGCATATGTTCTCTTTAGAGAAAAGGGCAAGAAGCTCAAAAGGGGCAAATCATGGCTCAGTAGGGCAGAGAACGATACAGATCTGCAGTCTTACAGACATCAACCTCGGCGAAGAATGGATTCCTGTGCCCCAGGTGCTCAACTGCACCATTTCCTGTATTGCCACGCTTGAAAGGAGCTGCTGGGAGCAGAATCCAGTTGCTATCAATGCAGAGGTCCACATGCTTATTATGTATAAAAATTCAGATGAGGCGGATGTGCTGATCTACACAGATGGGTCCGTTGTACAAGGACAAAAAAGTGCACCGGCATTTACTGTGTGCTCTGCAAGCAGAACAATCCAGGAAGCCAGTGGTGCCTTCTGTATGACTACGGGCGGAAGGGAGGCTGATGTATATGATGAAGGGGAAATCTGAGCACCAATTGTCATGTCCGGAGTGTCGCTAAGATAACCCAAATAATAACTCATAACACTATGCTATAGGGTGTGGTATGTGTGAAGTTTACATGAAAATATAAATCATAGCTGAAGGTGTGTGCAGTGATCTTTCTCATCACATTTCCTAGCCACAATGCAAACATTTCATGACATGGATCATTTCAGTGATCTGGTTTAGAGCCAGTTTTGGGGATGGGGGAACTGGCCTAGACATTTCAGTTTCCGACTCAGCCTCAGAAAAAAAACCAAGTTCCAAAGCCAAGCATAAGTCTGGGAATTAGGTTAAGCTGAGATTTAAATGTTCACCTGACCTCTTGGGCGCTGCTCTGATGAACTATTAGGAAATCAAACTTTTCCACCAGCAGATAGATCTGACAACACTGGATGTCTAGGGCAAACATACCTTATCTACATGAACAACTAGGTCAGATATATCGACCTCTGATGTGAATAAATATATGACAAATGTTCCACAAGATGGGGAGAAAAAGAACTAGTTTTAATTGTGGGGGAGAGAAAGACCTAGTGCTTTCCTAACAAGGATGTCTCAAAAGACATGGGTATTTCCTTCAAAGTCAAAGTGCACCTGCCTGAGAGACAAAGAACCAACAGTCTGCATACAAATAAGCCATTCTGAAAAATGAATGTGCACGCAAAACTCGAGGTCTGGAACAAGATTAAGGTCCAGAAGTGGACAACAACCAGAACTTTCTACCAGTGAATGTTAAGAAGAAAAAGATGATACTGACTAATCTGATGTATTCAGACAAACAGGAGGCATTAAAATCCATTACAAAGAATTTGATTTTTTTTTAAATGCAGTTATTTAGAGTTCTTGATGATAAACATCACAAAGACTGCCAAAGATACACTAGTAACTGCAAGCTCTATAGTCAAGGATAAAGAAGTCAGCTTCAGAGATGCTATACATGCTCCACATGGACAGCATTGCTATTCAACTGTTGAAATACAAACACTTTTTTTGCAAATGAACTCTACAAGTTTCTTTCTCTTAGTCCTATGTCAAGAAAAGTAAGAAGCTTGCTCTTTCTCTCTTCTGTTCATATTAGCCACTCATAAAGCAAATGCTTAACTGCCATTCTATTAACATCTGCTAAAATAATCAGTTATATAAATATTTTTAGCTTATCAAACATGTCGTAAATTATTCTGTTACATCCTTTGCAGTCTAAAAATCATGTTCAGACTATGTGTGGCTGAAATGTTTAATTCTGTTAAACATCAAGAACATTGTAATACTTAAATTGTGAATGGCAATAATAAACAAACTAATTGAAAGGAAGTAAACAAACAATAGAAAAATTTCAACTGGATACAATAATATTAACACTAACCTGAATTGAAACACCAAAGTTGTTCCCATCTTCAATTTTTGGAATTAAGAAATTGATCCACATTCTGACCTAGGTAAAGGGGGAGAGGCAGGAAATATGAACATGACACTCACTGAAAAGCTAGTAAATCAATCTAATAATTAACATGTTATTGCGATTAATGTAGTCAAACTTTAGAAATAAATTAATCCAAGTGAATCAAGTGATGAGGAAAAGATGTTATCATTGAACAGGACACATTGAGAAATCATGATGATAAAATTAGAATGTCCATGCCCTGGAACCAAGAGGGTCAAAAGAATATTTGCTGACCAAAGCAACACATCATCATCATCAATCAGCGAGTACTTTACAGAACCTTGCTCTGGTCCTTACTAATCAATTCTCAAATCCTAAGTGCTTTTATCTTCAATGTCTTGTATCCACCTTTGCCGAGGTCTAAATCTGCCTCATTCTCTGGAAATTACCCTCATCACGGTTGTCTCAATGCCACCATGTTTAACATGCCAAAATATCTCAGCTTTCAGAAGAACTGAATGCTGTTTATGAGCCAATTTTCTACGATGCTCAAATTATGTAGGAAGTGGGTGTTCTTTTTCTTGGTCCAGGGTAGTCCAAAATTCTTCTGTAGTATTTCAGTGCAAAAGCTACTATTTTTGTCTTCAAGAATAATAGTCCATGACTCACATCCCTAACTTGCCGAAGAAATGATGCATGATCTCAAATTGTTTACTAGCTTGCATGTGCTGTGAAACACATGGTGACATGAATTTAGAGAATTAGATTAAAAAGACTGGTAGACAAAAGATGAGATGCACATAATGGCAAAGGACAGAACTTAACATAAGTTGGCTGAGGCCTTGTGCTGCACTGGGGATAAAAGGCACAAGTAGACACATATCGGGGTTAAGTATCTAAATAGGCAACACTAATATCTTTTAATCAAACCTTTCCATGTCTCTACCTCCATGTCCCTGGATGGTAGAGAGTTGCTTCTCGGATGTGCTTATTTTGTTTTACAGTATTTTAAACAGTAGTCCTAGTGTCTCACACTGTAAACAAGATATGATTCACTTACTGTCTGTTTGTCATCATGCCTTTAACCTTGAGTTCCCGAGAAAGTAAGTTTTGTGACTTAAATTTTTTTTTAAATGTGTGATTAGATGTCTTTGATAACAGCTTCATTACTGGTTGCAACTGCTTAATGTGTAGATGTGGTGGCTATGATAATGTTTACACAAACACATATACACACAACGATTGTGAGATATCTGGAACTTTTTGCACTGTGGTGTCACACTAATGTCATGACATCAATTTGTTCCACGTGATTTTTTTTAAGCAAAACCCACATTTTATTTGTCAAAAGGAATGAAATTGATTCATTCCTTTCTGAATTTGTATTTAGTGATCACTTCTTTTCATTAAAAAAAAATTCAAATTGCATTAATTAATGACTACAAAATTATACATAAAAATTCACTTGTTTAGCACATGGCAGTCACAATGTCACAGTGGTCATAATTTTCAACCTCCTGGATCTTTACAAAAACTGGTCAAAACTCCAAATTTCTTCTGCTCTTTTTTCAGTTTCTTAAGGCACAGTTAATGAGAATTATAATAATGTATTTCTTCTTAAAGACATTTTGTAAAGGGTTATTGTTTAAGATTGCTACAAAGCAAAGTGGTTAAGGTGTGTTCATCTGATTTCTTTTATCTAGTTAATTGAACGCCTTGTTCTTTCATTTTCATCTTTAACCGATTCATATATATGTAGTCGATATTCCTTTAAGGAGAAATATCTGTGTAGTGTCAGTATGAGAGATACATATATATATATATATCAAAATTAAAAATGTTAACACAAATGAAAACAAAATGAATACCATATTTGCATGTTCCATGAGACCACGCATCAGAGGTTTAGCTTTCTCACAGTAATTATGTACAAATTTGTTGTAGGAGACTGTGCCACCCGGAAACACTAGTACCCTGGTACCTGGAGAAGGAGTAACAACCGTTGAAAAGTCTATACCCCATTTGTGTAGCCCAAATTATAACAGCAAATTAAACACTTGAAATATCACAAATACATCAGAATTAAACTACATGCTTAAATCAGGGTTCATAGCCAAATTTACCAATCAATTTCAAGGCTTTTCAAGGTCTTTTTCAAGGTCTCCTTAGTTTTTTTCAAGGTTGTCTCGGTGTAATACTGAAACAAGATTTTTGCCTTGTTCAAGGGTGTACTGAGCATACAAGGTACTTCATTTGTGCCACATGTGTTGGTATACCAGCACAGATATCATCATCATGTAGCATTTCCTTTGTCCTGACAAAAAAACCTCGGTCTCTCACCAGCTCTCCCGTCTCATGTACTTTTTTATACTCAAGGAGTCACTTATATCCTGTGCCCATCTTCGTGCTGGTCGGCCCCTGAGCTTGATATAGTGTTTGAAATTTTTTTTTAGGGCTTGGTGGTAGAGGGCAGCAAACTGAAGTCCTGTCTGTTCTGGACCTGGTACCTGAGAGGGTTAGGGGAGAGAGAGAGAGAGAGTCATGAAGAGAGAGGAAGACACATGCTGAGGTAGGCTGGGAGAGACAGTGTAAAGATGGACAGATGAAGGTAGAGAAAAGAAGGAAAAGAAGTCTGGGGAAGGAGGAAAAAATGAGAGGGAGGGATGGAGACATGATGAGGAAAAGTGGGGAAGGAACAGCGAAAGACAGAGAGGGAAAAAAATACAGAAAGAGGGAATGCAGATACAGAGATGGGCAGATGAAAAGAGAAGGAAAAAGGGAACGAAATAGAGATATGGAAGGAGGAAAATATGACAAAGAGTTGAAAGAAGGGAGACAGAGGGAGAGAGAACGGACAGGGTGAGAAGCAGATGCAAGCAGAGAGAGATGTAGACATAAAGGAGAGAGAGAGACAAAGGGACAGCACAGAGAGGCAAGCAGACAGAGGGAGAGAACCAAAGAAAGAGAAAAAAGGCAGAGCAGGAGAATGGGAGGGAGGTATACAAAGAGGAAGTGATGAAGGGAGGCAAACAGACATAAAGCAAGAGAGAGAGAGAGAGGTGGGTAAGGAAGGCAGTGACAAACACAGATTAAGAGAGAGGGGCAGGAAGGGAGACAAGATACATCAAAGAAAAAAAACAGCCACCTACTCCCCCCCCCCTCCCCCCACACAATTTCAAGTGTAGTGGACACAACCACTAGGAAAAGATAGTTATGGGGCAAAAAAATACGTAGATGAACCAGTAAAAAAAAATGATGGGGGGGGGGGGGGGGGGGGGGGGGGGGGGGGGGGTGGGGGGGGGGGGGGGGGGGTGGGGGAGGGGGGGGGGTGGGGAGGGGGGGGGAAAGAATGAGAGAGGGGAAGAATGCGGGGGAGCGGGTAAGGAAATTTAGAGAAAATGAAAAGACAGGATGGAGAGGAGACAAAGAAGAGATGGGACAGGAGAGAGGGCAAGGAAAGGAAGAGAGGAAGAATGGAGAGAGAAAGGAGAATAGAAGAAGATCAAAGGAAAGAGAAGGGGTGAGAGAAGAAAGGTAAGACACGGTTGTGGGGGGTGGGTGGGGGGGGGGGGGTGTAAGAACAATGAGTGTACCCTCTCTCAATGTGAATGTGGCCGTGGTCCAAAACAAACAGTGCTAACCCCTACTGCCCCCTTGCTTGTCCTATCTGTGTGTGACAACAATAATTCAATTTCTTACACTTAAGGCTGGTGACCTGAGAGCCAAGGTCATTTTATGAAGAAAATAAAAGTCCAGGGGATCCCAACCCACCACTGGTGGAAAATAGAGAAGTTTACCCACACACATAAATAGGTCAGACACATAAATAGGTCAGGGCAGCAGTGGACTTCGTTTTATTTCTGGTTTTCCAATTACAGAAAGGAGGGGAGAGAGGGAGGTGGTGGAAAGTGGTGTAGAAGGCTGAGGTGGTAAGGGTGAGACAGAGGAGGTGAGAGAATAAAGTTTAAGAAAATAAAGTGGGAATGAGACAGGGAGTAAGAAATAAGATATAGAGGGAAGAAGGTAGCAGGAAGGGGGTGCACTCCCTCCCCTAGGGTGTCATCAATGTGGGAGGAGAAAAAAAAAAAAGGGGGGGGGGGGGGGTGACGGCAAATGTGTTTTTTAAAAGTACACATATATTTAATGTGTGGGAGGGGGAATGGTGGACATGAAATGTTCTGCACTAGGCAACACATAACCTTCTACACCAACTGAAGGTATGGAGAAAGAAAGAGAGAGAGAGAGAGAGAGGAGAGAGAGAGAGAGAGAGGGAGTGAGGGAGAGTGGCAAATACAAAGAGAAAGAAGAAAGCAGTGACACAGACAGGCAGAGAGTGAGTGAACAGGTAGGACAAAAATGTGATGGGGCGGGAAGGGAGATGGACAGAGATTAGGCCGCTAGGAAAACAAACACATCAAAAGAAAATATCCACAAATTTTTCCCCCCACCATGTTCACACAGGAATGCCCCCCCCCCATATAACAACTTCCTGTGTACTTGAGTTGCTAGGAAGAGTTATGGACCGCACATTTACTAAACATTTAAACAAGAAATAAAATAGGAAAAAGGGGGAGGGGGGACAGGAAATGGGAGAGTAAAAGAAAAGATAGAGAGAAAGAGAAGAAGATGAAGATCAGAAGGAGGGTTAGAGACAATGCAGTCAGACGGTAAGGAAGGAGCAATAGGTAGAAGAGTGAAAGAGGGAGGGAAGAGAGGAGAGAGAGAGGAGTGAGACAACAGAAGAGGGAATCTCGGGGAATTACAATACTGATCGCCAAACACACTGTAGAAGATAATCCAGGCCAAAAAATAGAACTGGGAAATCCAGCTGCAGTCACTTTTCTTAGCCCCAATGCCATCTCTAATTAATAGAGAAGGCCGTGCTTAGCCCCACCACGGGGACTCTATTTATAAATACAACTGAACCAAGCCCCACCATCTCCCAATGTAATCCTTTCTAGAAACCACGGCCATAAACAATTTAAACTGTTCATTCTGCCCGACTTGCTAGAAACAAAGGCACACACACACACACACACACACACGCGAGA